AGTTTGAAGATCCGAGCTTCGGGAAGGAAAACGAAGAAAGGGGGAAAAAGCTTGATTCGGAGAAGAAGAACAAGCTTGGACAGCAAGGGGAAAAAGGCCTCCGCACACTCAGCTAGAAAAATCCTGAACTTAATCCGCACCACCACCTTGAGACAGGAAAATGGTAAATGAGATCCAATGCACAGATGGAAGCAAGGACGGAAAATGAGAGTTAGAGAGTGAGAGAGTTGGGGGAAAAAGGTTCCGTACGGGGGGGGCTCACAATAACGGAAAATGAGAGTTAGAGAGTGAGAGAGTTGGGGGAAAAAGGTTCCGTACGGGGGGGGGGTCTCACACATACCCACAATATTCCACTGGGATTGGTAGAATATAGCTTGAAACCCATCTGGGCCAGGGGCTTTAAGTCCACCCATGCTTTTTACCGCACCATGAATCTCCATATCCGAGAAAGGTTGAGCAATATCCTCCAATCCCTATGCTGTGAGAGTAGGGAATGCGGAAGTGAGACAGTAGGGCATATACTCTCCAGAATCATGAAATAGGTTTTTGTAGAAGTCAGTCACCAAGTGTTCTAGATCTCGTTTGTTCTCTATCCAAACACCCTCTTCATTTTGTAGTTTCACAACCCTGTTTTTCCTTCGTCGAAGGTACATGAAAGTAACTAGTATTTCGATCTCCAAATTCCAACCATTTGCACTGGGATTTCTGAAATCAAAATAACTCTTCCCTTATAAGAAGCAGTTCATATTGGCTCCACAATTCTCTTTGAAGATTTATAAGGAATGGGTTATCCTCTTGAAGAAGTCTAGCTGCAATTCCATTTAACCTCCTAACCAGTCGACATTTAGCAGAAAAGATATTGCCAAAGGTCGTTTTATTCCAATCAAGAAAACATCGTTGTGTGTTATTTACCTTGCTTGACCAATCCATTTGCTCATTCCAACTCTCCCTAACTAAAGAAGGGAAATCAGGGTGAGTTAACCATGCGGCTTCAAAGCGAAAAGGTCTACGAATTTTATTAACTAGTGCGGATGAGAATTTCAATAAAATGGGACAGTGGTCTGACTTTAGAGGGTTCAAATGAAGGACATTTGCATTTGGGTGGGCCAATTGCCATGCCAAACTAACCAGAACACGATCCAGTCTCTAAAAAGGGATCTTCTTTTCCAAGTAAAAAGGGCTCCCTGATAACCCATATCCAACAGGTGACACTCAAGGACAAATTCTTTAAAGGCATTATCACCCCGGAGGCAAGCTGATGATGAAACTCCCTTGCGTTCAGAATCTTTCAACACAACATTGAAGTCACCCATAATGCACCATGGTTTTTGAATATTTTTTGCCATCCTACTAAGCTCTCGCCAGAGACCTATACGAAATTGTGGATGAGGGTTAGCGTAAACAACCGTCAACTCCCAGGTTGCTGAGCCACATGAAACAGTAAAATTTGTGATTTTTAAGTTTTAGTCAATAATAAATAGTTTTAAGAGAGTATCACCTATATTCCACAAAGTCAATTATCTTATTATGCATTACAATTCATGATTAAATAACATTATAAAATATATTCAAATTAAATCATATATTTAAGTATAATTATAATCGTCAATTTTTATTAGTTATTATAATATACTTTAGAATTTAATGTGCACCTCTCCCATTAGAAAAATAAAGGTGAAGATTCTTCCCTCTAGAGAGCCACAAAGAGAATGGTTTAGTACTCATTCAGGCCCAAATGGTAGAAGGGGGACCAGATATCTATTATTAATTAAACCATAGACTTGTTGATTGGACCTACTTGCTTCCATAATGTTGTCAACACTATGACTGGCATCTAAATTCTTGATGCTCTTTAGAGTCCTTGTTGGCTTGAGCACTACAGTATTTATCATTATGGCCTATTAGAGTAATAATTGTAGTTTTTATTTGGATTCTATTATTACTTTATTAGAGTTTTTAACTTCTTATTTGACTTAAGCCTTAAACGTGTCTACAAAATAAAAATATTTACCAAAAAGGGAAGGATCCTATCACCAACTCGGATCTCAACTCTTACAGAAGGAATGTCAACACATCATTTAATTAGAAATAGGGGTGATCAAAGGTGAAGTATGGTTGATTTTGGAACGAAATAGTTTAAATCAATGGTTTCAGAACGATATAGTTTAAATTGATATAATTTATGAGTTGCATTATTTAAATCTGAATTTGATCAAGTGACTTATCGATTTAGGTAGGTTTCAATTTAAATGGGTCTTGATTTTAATGGACGATTTTCTCTGAGCAAAGATGTATTGGACTTTAAATAATTTAATTGGCCCAAATAATTTTTTTATTTAATTTATTATCTTTCTTTTCAAGTCTTGTATCTCTTTTTACACATTCAACCATTCAAATATTATTTACTTTGTTTAGACTCAAAATAAATAAAATTATTCAAATTTCAAATAATTTAAATACTATCATAATTTTTTAGGTACATGATACAAAAAAAGAAGTTATAAACTACACTATGAACTAAAATTTTTTGTGCATCAACAATAAAGATTAAAGATGAGCCAAAATAAGCTTAACTTTTAGGTCTGAATGATAATTACTCTAACTTTTATTTTGTTTGGACAGTTAAGTTTAGGTTTCGATTGGTCCAAAAACTCAAACCAAACCCGACCAAAATTAATTATTTTAAGCCGCTTTTGAACTCACCTAAATCGGTAATCCATTCGAACCCACCCATTTTGCCTTTTTTATTTCTATTTTTTCAATTTTAGGTGAAGTCTCGGATTGGTATTTACCCCTACTAAAAAATATTAAAAAAATACTATAAACACTCTTCTTTTGCACACACTCTTATTGATTAATTAACATTTATTAAAGTATGAGTCGGTGAATTTCATATCTTTTTAATGACTCTCTTTCCGTGTATTTTCAGTGTATTTTCAATAAATTATGACGGAGTGTATTAAGAGGAGTGTGTTATAACACTCCACAAATTCAAAAATACCGTCCAATTAAAACCCAATTGAATGTTGGATGTTTGATGAGTAAGACCCGTTCTATTGTGTGGTTTGGCTATGGCCTATGACACCTTGTGTGTGCTCGCTTAATAAATTTTGTGACACACGTACATAACTTTTTTAATAATGAAAAGATAATATTTCGAGATGTTGACTCAAACCAGCAGCATGTCCCTCCCAATAAGAATACTGTTTAAATTCATGTTATTGATTATACTTGACTCATTTATTATATACGAAAACGACCTGTAGTTTTTTCTTTTCTATTTTGTTATAAAATATACTTCTTTAAAATATTTAAAATTTGTAGATTGAGATCATATAGACATATACACAAGAGTTGGAGATAAAGACCTAATAGGCAACACGGCCTATCTATCGATGAATATGATATTGGCTTATCACAGGAAAAAGAGAGAAAAAAAAAATGCACTTGGGCAATATCATATATGTAATATCTTAAAAAAATAATTAGTGAAAATTATAATATATATGCACCTTAGTTTCTGAAATCATAACATACGATGCCTAATCATAAAAGCTAGCATATACACCATAAACTGTACGTACTGAACAGCAAAACAAGCAAAAATAATCTTGAAACTGTAGAGCAAACTTTAAGAGAGAACACAAGCAAGCAATCAGGTTAGATTTACTAGTAGCAGTAACTGGATCCGGATCCTCTGACTTTGAGATATAAAAGTTATGGTAACTTAATTCATTTCAACCATTAGATTTATAAAAATAAATCAGATTGTGACACGTGTACAAAATATATTTTGACTTAAATGTACGCGTGTCACAATCTGATCTATTATTACAAATCCAACGGTTTAAATGTGTTAAGTTACCCTAACTTTCCCTCCATAAAGTTAGGGAATCTATTTCCAAACTGGGACAAGAGCAATATACATTGGAGGAAAAAAAACACTATATTCATTTTCCATTAAAATGACCATGTTTTTCTGCTAAAGCATAATCCTTCTGTAATGCAATAATTGATCTTAAGGCATATTTCGTATATAGCAAATTTTTTCATATTTGAGAATTATAATTATTCATAAAAATCATAAATTTGTCAATCATGATTTTTAAAAATCATGAAAACTTATTTGGTTGATCATAAATGTTTTTGAAAATGTTTATAAATATTATTTGAGAATCAAAATTTTTTATTGCATTAAATAAATAAATAAAAGTAATTTAACATTTTTACCGCATTGAAAATTTGTTTTTATTTCTGGAAAGGTAGTTTCCTACCTCCTCCCATGAAAATAATTATGTGAGAAACATACAAATATCATTCTCAAAAAACAATATTTCTTAAAAATATTAATTTTTAAATAATAAACCAAACGCTGAAAACTAACATTTTCAATGTCAAATTTCCAAGAAAATAAAAATTTTCTGTGTAACTAACACCCCCTAATTGGAAAAAAAAAATCTGAAAACAAAACTTGACTTCTTGAGACAGCATATATTAGTGCATGAGAAATGATAATGACACTCTCTAGCACTTTTGTTAATATTTTCTCTTAATAATTGAAAACCACAAATTTTAGTGGGTCTTACTATTAAATCAAGAGAAAGACTTGTTAAATATAATGTGAGACCCATAAAATTTGTGATTTTTAATAAATTTTGACAAAGAAAGTGTTAAAAAGAGAGTATTGCTAACTTTCGTCGGTAGTGTATTACACAAGACTAACTACAAAATATATTGATTATATCTTATTACAAGCTGTAAGCTATATGTAGACGATACAGGTTTTAACTAAGCACCAGCAATCTAGCTCGTTCAAAGTCACTCAACTGTTCTCTGAAACAAATTAGATTAAACAAGACACCCGAAAGGAAACAAGGAACCTTCAGGCTTTTTGGTAAATTTCATATATTTAAATTGAAAACATAATTTTGGCTCCACCGCAAGCTAGTGGGGGTCAATGTTGCAAAATAAAAAACACACGTTTGTTTACAGAAGTTGCATAAATTCAAGGCTAGACATCATGTCTTTTACTAGACAAGGAAGTTTGATATATGGTAAAAATCACCAGTACAAATTGCCAACACTTGCTATCTTTTTGAGGATTCTCATCCTCCCCAGATCTTGTGCAAACAGATACATCATACAGTTCAAAGAAAAGGCAAAACATCAATGAATAGAAAGATAGGAACCTTAAAGTGAAAAGACCCCAAATTAAACTATAGTTGAACACAAAATATTGAATAAAAATAATATGAAGAAAGCAGTATACACTCACTGTTTAGGTAAACCCAATATGATAGTGAAACAGAGGCATGAAAGCCATGTGACTGTTATGGTTCAATGGAACAGGGGATTTGAAGATGGCTCAATGGTGAGGTTCTGTTTGGGTAGAGTATTTCTTAGTAGAGTTCCTTTCTTGATGGATATGTCCTGTTTGATATTGGTGTGATAGCAATTTCAGGGAAATAATTCAGAAACAAAATGTATAACAATCATCCACTCCACACAACCAAGACATTTCCAGCAAACAAGAAAAATTTTCAAAAAAAATATAGAGGATATACCTTTTCTGCAAATCTTATGGCTCTGGAGCTCTGGAATTAATTTACGGTTATTTCCCATCTTTGAAGTTCCCCTCATGTTTTCTTCCTCTTCATAATATATTTGGCAAGAAAGACAACTTTTCCTCCTTATCCAGTACACTGTCAACTATCTCTGTCTTTTGTATACCACAAAAATGCTAAACTAATCCTGTGGATTAAGATTTTCTTTGATTTAAGTAGCAGAAAATTATATTGCAAAATATTGCATAAAAACAGAGTGGGCTATAAACTGACTAAAGGGAAGAAAGAGATTGGTGACAGGATGAAGAGCTGTTTGCGAAGGAATCCAATCAAGAAATCCAAGTTTCTTGACCTGCAGTGGGTGCCAAAAGCATATATGGTCTATATGATCCAGACTGCAACCTTGATTTGCCAGCGGAGCACAATATAGTTTAGTCCAATGTTCTTATTTTCATCCTATTACTTCCCTAATTATCCACATTAGACAAGTTTGAAAGGAATTAAAGCTTAAGTTTTCATATTCAGACTCTTCCAGTGACCAAATGATTCCTTCATGCATACGAACTCATGGCTTTAAACAACCCACTTTTCCTCATCCAATTCAGGGACTACAATATCTTCCCTCATCATACATGCATAACCCTTTTCAACTGGTGCCCCAGCCTGGGAAAATAGCTCAACCACTGCAGGAAGCATACCATAGTACCTTTTCAACTCATTTACCAAAGGCTTCCAAGGTTGCCGATCTCGAATGTGATAGACATATACCGGAGGTGCCAAATCATCAATTGTTGCCTCTTGCCATGCATGCTGCCCATCCCTCATCTGGTGTTTGAAAGCTTGACAATTTCGTACTCTATGACCTTTGGGTCCCACTTGTACCTCTGGACAATATCCACAAGTTTGGACAGCATATTTCTCCATAAGTTTTGAAGCTCCTGTGCGCATTTTTTCCCAGGCTTTCATCCCTTGAACAGCAATAGCTGCACAGAAGAATGCACATAGTCAGCATAGTTAACATAGGACATAATGTGTAAGTGTGTCTTAGAGAGAAGAAAAAAGTATTTGTCTTGAAGATAAACCTTGGACATCATCAGATTGCATTGCCACAGAATCATCTGATCTTTTCTTCTTATACCAAAACCCATGTGCCTCTATATCTTCACCAAGAGAAATTTCTTTTGGAAATCGTTTCTCAAAATCAATAATCCTACCAGCAACACAGTAAACAGGGAAGGACCTTCTCCTGGTAGGATACTCAGGTATGTCAAAACCTGCTTGGATGCACAATTCAACAATTGCTGGAATTCGGTCCACTTCAAGCATTTCATTATGTGAAACAGCCCTTCCTATTCTATCATACAGATGAAATGACTCTACCAGTGGAAGAACATGGTCGACACCACCTTTGACCCAAGTATGTTCCTTGCTTGATGGGCTTCCTCTAACATCACATGTTTTAATTTTATGCGGAGGATGACCAACATGAACTTCTCCACATAAGCTGCAAAACAGTCAAAATGCTTAAACAATAATGCATATTAAAAAAAGCCAGGCAATTAGACATGTTTACATTATTCATTTATAATAGATCCTATTCACATTAAGAAATCCTCTAAAACGCAGAATGCATTGAAAAATCACATTATATCACTTAGTTGACAAGTTAAAAGTACAATTCAATTCCAAAAATTACCAAATAAAAAGAACTGAAAATAGACTTGTGATTGGAACTCAGATATCATAGTTGAATATAGAAGTTCTACAGGCAACACGCTAAAAGCTTAAACAACCATAATGAAGTATAGCAGAGTTATGGTGTGACCTGCATGTATAAATAGCAGTGTAGTTGACAAGTCTTGAAACACTAGATAATAGTTCACATCTGGCAGCATAAACTTCATGAGCAACCGGAACTAAATGCTCAACCAACAAGCCATTTTCAGGAGGTTGTAGTATAACCTCATGCACCTTTTGTCTCTCCTTTTTCTTCAGTCTAGCTTCGCGCTTAAGTTCATTAAAACTTGTCACTGGTGGTTTTCTCTCAGACTTGTTGAGCTTTCTCGGCAGCTCATTGCAAGTAGACACAGTAGAGTACCAAAGACAGATATGTGGATTTTTACCTCTGAGCTGCACAACATGATCTTGTACAACTCTCTCAAGGAGATTACCAACAGTTTGAACATGTCTTCGCAGCATCTTTGCTCATTAGAAGAGGGATACCTACACTGAAAGATATTCATGGACAAATTCATATACAGTATACCGAAACTAAATTTCTTTGTTAATTATTTATTTTCTGTTCTCATAAGTAATATCCCATTCTATATGTTGAAAAAAAAGAAACCCATAAGGATTTAAAGTTTTACTTTCTGTGTCGGCTTTCCAAGAAAACAGAAGGTTCTCAAATCTAATATGTACAGCTGAAGTTATACATAGAACAGAATCGTGACTACTGCCAGGAAACAAACATCATAGAAACATATAACCTACTTAAGGAAGCATACTAATAAGTGCATGTTTGGGAACCTGTTTGCCTCATTAAAAACGGGATTTCACACATTCCCAAGCAGAAAATGAAGAAGCAACATTTTGTTGCTTTGGCATTGAAAGGGATTTTTGTCAAGTGGAACTGTAAACCAAACATACTATAATTTCATGCCATAATTCTACAAAAAAAAAAAAAAAAAAAAAAAAAAAAAAAAAAACAGCAAGCAGAAACCAAATACAAAGAAAAAAGAAAAAGAAAAACTAAACTAGTTGCTGACAATTCCAAATCCAATAACACTTTGGAACTAGCAAATTGAATAGAATAAACTTGAATTTATAGGCTTAAGATTCAGATTGAGCCACAGCGACAATCAAAATAGAATAGTATTTTGAATGTTCATTACTTTCTCCACAATCTCAGAATGTAAACTCAGGAAACAGATAACAGAAAATAGGGAAGGAGTGGAGAAAAAGCACCTGCGACTGCGACGGCGTGAGGCTGCCAGGGTCGACCGCTGCGGTGGCTCAGGCTAGGGCTCTACGGCGGCGCGGGAGAACTCTCTTCAGTGCTCTGCTTCTGTAGTTTGCAACTTTGCAAGTGCAAACCCATTTTTATTTTAAAATAAGGTTTAAGAGATTATTTGTTCATCAACTTTGTGATTTTCCATTAAATTCTTAACTACAAAATTTGTAATTACTTCTTTCAAATTTTTCTTATATATTTATAATGAATCTAGCTTCTCTACAATGAGGTAATTGCAATTTAAATAACAAAATGCAATAATAATGGTAGAATAAAAAAATCAATAATTAATATTATAATTAATTTTAAATTTAAATTTTGTAAAAATTTGATTCTATCACAAATCTTAATAGTTGATCTTATAATTATCAATTGTATGTGTACTTTATCATTTAAAATACATTCTTCACTTTAGAATAGTCATATCCATTTATGATTTAGTTGATGAGATTATAAATTTATTTATACTAGATGAAATTTTAAGATTTACAAAGTATCTTATATATATATCATTAATATACATAGATAATAACATAGAATAATAATATAATATAATTGTTAAGGTGTATAAAGATATAAAAAATAGATTTAATTGTCTTTTTAATTTTTATAATTTCTTCAATTTTATCTTTTAGTCTTTGTAATTAAAAATATTCTTTTAATTCATATACATTCTTTTTTCTTTTAGTTCTTATAGTTGCATAAATTTTTTCTATACTAATATATAAAAAAAATTATTATATTTTGTCTCTTCAATTTGTGAGCTATTATATTTGTAATGTAGTAAGTGAGTTTCAGAGTTTAGTGGATGCTAAAGAGAAGAGTATTTAAGGTTTTCTCTAATAAGAGAGCCTCATAAGCTCATTATCAAAGAAAAACTAGAGAGAAGTTTTAGAGAGAAGGACTTTGGATTTGTGAGCTCCTTTCTCTGCCAAATTTCTCTGTTTGATTTTTCTTCTTCTCTAGATCACTAATTCCTTCTGTCTTTTCTTGAAATTCAGGCTAGGAAGCTTGTTTTTGGAGGATTGAAGTTCGCGGGACGAACTTTGAGGGAGATTCTTCTTCTTCTTATTTCCTTATCTGTTCTGAGCCAATCTTCAGGTGAGGGAAGCTAGAATGTAGATTGATTGGTTGCATGTGAGTTTAGGAACTCAATTGGTGCATGAATTTTGAGAATCAATGGTTGAATTGAAGAACTTCTCATTTTTCGGGGTTTTGAAAAAAATGGAGTTTTTGGTGATTTTGATGCGTCTGTTAGATGCATGTTGTATTTGAGGTTATTTTTGAATTGTGTGAAGCATATGTATTGTGTTTCATGGATTGCATGTGGCTGGATTTCCTGCTTTTCAAGTTTTGGATGGAATTTTCTGGGTTTTGGGGGTTTCTGTATGAATTTTCGTCGGGCACATATTCTTGGCGCCGGCGTGCATTCATCAAGGCAATCATTTATTGATCACGCCAGGCGCGAGGCTAGTCGCGCCGGGCGCGATTGTAAATGGGAGTCTCTAGATGAATTCACGTCGGGCGTGAGGAGAACCATGTCAGGTGCTATATAAAATAGTGACCTTGTCTAGCAAGTTACTGATATGGTATCGGGTGCAGGGTAGGTGCGTCGGACGTGGAGAACTTTGGAGGTCTCTGTCTAGACAGCACTGGGCGTAGGGTTGATGCGCCAAGCGTGGAGACTCTTGTGAGTCTCTGTTTGAATGACGCCGGGTGAGAGCTGAATGCGTCGTGCGTGGAAGAGCTTAGAGCTCTCAGGTTGGATTTAGGCGGGGCACAAACTAACTACGCCGGACGTGAATATGCTTAATGATTTTGGCTGAAAATGATGTTTTCGCATGTTTGAGGTTGAAGTTGGATTATGTATGTATGATATATGATGTATGGTGATGTATTGGTAATGATATATATATATATATATGGGAATGCTAATGTACTCCCACCTATTTTTTAGTAATGTTTGAGTATGATATGACATGTGTATATGTTCATATGAGGATGATATTGATCATGATGGTGGATTTACCATGTATGATGTATGATGCATTATTGCATGTGATGCCTTATGGCATGTGTCTAGCCTAGGACTTGAAGAGAGGGAAAATGTTTTTGAACTGGAAGAGCTCACATAAAGTCTCTTGAGAATGGTGCTTGGATAAGCCACTAATTTATATGAGAGTGGTGCTTAGATAGGCCATTAGTTTTGGGTGAGAGTGGTGCTTGGATAAGGCACTAGTTTGGGTGAGTATCCTCTAAATCCTTAGCTATAGTGTTGGAGTGGGGTATGAGGTCGAGGGTTATTCCCTTAACGAAGTACTGGGAAAGGTGCGTGGTTCCTTAGTGGGTGGGCAAACTCCACAAGTGACTTGGTAATGCATGTAAAGAGCGTGGAAAGCCTATCCCCAACTGTGTTATACCTGACGGTGGAACCAGGCTTCCAAGTGTGTAAGTGACATCATCTGAGTAAACCTGAATGAGGATTTATATCCTGATTAGCTGTGACCGAGCGAGCACATTGGGCGTGAAAACGGTTGGGGTGGTTTCAGTAGGATTGGGATGTCACTTATACTACTCTACTGTTAGGGTGATCTCCTAGGTGAATGCGTGACAATGCATTAGATGATAAATATGCATTGATATCTCTCATGTGTTGCTTAATTGCATGATTTCTATTATGATGAAGTGTATGGTGTTTGACTTCATGAATGTTGAGTTGCATTTTTATGCATGAGTAGTATTAGATAGAGTGTATGGTGTGACTCTATGAGTATGATTGGTAACTTGATAATGGTGTAGCATTGACCTTTATCTGTATGCTTACATGGTTGATTTTTAAACTCTAGCTTACCCTTTTGTTTCCATGTGGATGGATTACGATGATCATACTTTGTATGAGAGTAGATCAAGACTAGCTTGGAGTTGTGGTGACCGTTGCTGCGAGATGTGGAGTTGTGTCCTAGTATCAGAGTTACCATCTTGGGTAACTATTTGTTTGTGCTTGACTAGCACTAGGGTGATATTATTTTGGATGACATTACATATATAGTGTTATATTTCGTACACAGAAACATAGTTAATATTATTTTTATATGTACCTGTATGTATGAGTTATCTAGTTTTAATATCTTTTCTTAGTCCACTAGTATTTTTAGTGCGATTTCACTGAGTGTAGGGACCACGGCGGGTCGTTACACTTTTATGGTATCAGAGCCGGTCGAGTCTTTTGGATACTCTGTGGGGAGCGATCCTTCTAGGTTTCTATTGTGTCATATCTCTAATATGTGATTGGTTTTGTTGAATTGGGGTGGTATAGTGTTACTAAAAGAATGTTTGAATTCTTGTAGTATGGTGAGGCCTCAGTATGACCAGATTGCTAGGGCCATGGAGATGATGGCCATGAAAATGCAGCAGTAGAGTGCTCACTTTGCTTAGATGGAAGCGGGTAGAGTTGCGGCTGAGGTAACTAGACCGGTGATCTCTCAAGATGGGAGACATTTGGCAGAGTTCAGGAGATATCAACCTCCTTGTAACAACCCATTTTTCATGGGCCAAAGGCCCAAT